CATAGTGTTAACAGTGAAGAATTGAGGATATCTTTACCTCTAAGTGATATGTGTGTCACAATGATTGTCCAGTGCTCAAAAGGAAAGCTGTGAGGTGTGATTGAACGATGCAGTGCATTTTTAAATTAAAAATTATTACAGTAAAAAACACGTTGTCCTTAATCCCCCTCAAAATACGCCCCACCCCCTGCTTTGAACAAATGCACTCGCCCCACCGTTCTTGCCACTTTCTGAAGCAGTTCTGGAGTCCTCTCTCCTGGGTGTCCTTTGATCCGGTATAATCAAAAACAAGCTAAACTCTGCTTCTAAGTTCCAATGGAAAGGCAGGCCCATAAGACCATGAAAAGCAAAGCACTGGGAATCATTCGGGCCATGGAGGCAGCCGTGACAACACACATAAAGACCCTCACAAAGAGGACTTCCAGAACTGCCTCAGAAAAAGGCAAGAGCATTGGGGTATGCATGTTTGAAGTGAGAGGAAATATTTTGGGGGGATTAATAACAATGCTTCCTTTAAAGTGATAGATTTCTAGAATTTAAACATTCACCCTATTTTTCTATCACACCTCATATTGAGAGCCTAGGTGTTGTGGTAGGAGGTAAAGGGATTCTTTTCAGGACACTGAGAGAGACAGCCAGGCAGAGATATGAGTCAGGGTAGTATCTGGGACTTCATGACCCTCAGTCCTTCTTTTGCACTTTCTTTCCCTGTCCTTTCTATTACTGTTCCCCAGGAAAGAAAGGCCCAACTCTGAATACAGCAGTGTCCTCTGCCCAAGAAGCCTTGGATGTTCCTCTTCACAGGAGGTCTCTGAGCCTCACCAGGAGATCTGTGGGCAAGAGTCCACCTGATCTGCTTCCTGCAGAAATTGGGCCCTCCAAACACACACCTTGGGATGGCCCACAGCCTACAACACGCCATTCCTTCTGGTCCTTGGGGAGGTTACCTGACTCCTCTCGCTCTCCTCTGTCTTCCATCTGACAGGGTGAAAGGTGGTGCCACTCCCTAAATCTGCAAGGATTAGCTATATGAGGTATGGATGGTGTTTGGCAGGCCAGCCAAGATAGTTAAGGGTGGTTGTGTCAGGATTTGAGCAGCCCCTGACCTCACTAGATCCATTGAGGGCCACAGCTTGTCTCCCTAGAACTGATAGACAGCTTGATACATGCTCATTTAGTGTCCATTAATTGACTCCATGCAATATAATTCACATGACCAGTGCTTACTTGGCTCTTCTACCCAGTATGCTTTTCCCCTTGGCTGGCTTCCTCTCATCCTTCAAATTCCAACTGAATATCACTTCCTCAGACAGGTCTTCCCAAGACAAAAACCTGCAACATCCCTGCCCACCCAAATCTCTCTGTGTTCTATTGCTCAATTTTATTATCTTAATAACAGCGCTTTCACCCAATGACTACTTGTGTAGTTTCTCCTATCTTGCTGACATCCAACACCAGGGAAGGAATTGCCCCTGACACTTGGAGCTGAAGGAAATGTCACTCCTATGATTCCTGTGTGAGTTGTCAGTTTGTAGTCCCTGTAAACACCATTTGAGTAACCACAGGGTCAAAACGGTGGGAAATACAGTAACCATGCTGACCCTCACACCAAGCATTCCCTACTTTTTGAAGATGCTAAGCTAAGAGCCAGGGGTCCTCTGCTTCGAAGTTGCCAGCCTCAGTAGCTGTGTGGACCCCTGAAATCTTTCCAAAGGACCAAGAGTTTCTCAGAACTGAAAAGAATGGAGCAGGCAAATCTCAGGGAAAAGTAACTTTCCATGGCACAAGGGCTTCCTGGCATCTCTTCACCTGTGGCTTTATTTCCTTCATTTGTCAAGGTAGGCTGAATCAAAATGTAGTAACAAATATCCCCAACACCTTCAGGCTCAAGCTGGTAGAATCTCTGCCTCAATGAAGGCAGGATAGAGCAAAGCATCACTGGCCTTAATTAAAGATCTATTAGGACATGACACATATGGCTTCCTCCATAGCTCAGGGCACAGAACAAGTCCTATGGCCCCACCCACCACTCACAGGAGCCAGGAGGGCAGCCCAACCGATGTTCAGGGAGCAGGAAGGTGGGCGCACTTCAGGAAAGCACAAATACCACCTTCCTGTGCTACCTTTTACACCGAAGAAACTGGAAAGGAAGGTAACAATGAGAACTAACTTATTAAGAGTGTCTGTACTGCCTGGAGTATTCAGAGCAGGTTTTGTGCATTCATTCCATCCTGTAGCAGGAGAGGAAACCAGCTCAAAGCAGAATTGCTCAGCAGGATCATGAGTAGATAAGCAGAAGACACATAACCCCAGCACTAGTGGCCTTTGCTCTCAACCACTGGACACCATCCCCTGGGTGATGCAGGCCTCAGCACTAGGACTCCATAAGGGGCACTAGGCATGAGGCTTAACTTCTCTGAACTTTCATTCCCCTTTAGTGAGACTGGGGATTTAATGACTGCCCTATTCAGTATCTCAGAGTCAGGAATGAATTTTGTGAGTATATACAAGAAAAAAAAAATACATAGCACCCAGTTGGGAGATCTCCAGGGAATCTTTCCCACCACACCCCTTGGAGGCTGAGAAGAGGTATCCTGTAGCATGTCTATAGAGGAGAGAGGGAGGCCTGGGGGACAGCCTGCCTGATCCAGGGAGAACTGAGTCCCACCTCCCAACAGCTCTGTGTGGATGCCAGGATTTCAGAAGGTTAGGGTGGGTGGACATTCCATCAAGAGCTTTCTATTTTGTCAAGTCAACAGCTACTTATAATCACCACCATTTCGCAACAGAAAGGGCAATGTGAGACCAGAAGAGTGGAAAAGTTATAATTTCAGAATTTTAAAAAGCATCACTTAAATTAAGTAAGTATAGCTCTACAAAATATCACTTGTGTCTATTTTCTCCCTCTTTACTACAGGTCAGGGCAAGAATCAGCACTAACTAGTCACAGCCCATGAGAACCAGGGAGCAGTCTCTCTCTCTCTCTCTCTCTCTCTCTCTCTCTCTCTCTGTCTCTGAGTTTATAGGTACATCTTAGGTATACAGTACAGTTACATTCATCATTGGGATCTTGCACCTTTACACGACAGGTCTCGGTTCTCATTTTTTCCCCTTGTCCCTGCCCTCCCCGCCTCCTTCCCTCCCTATTTACAAATACTTTATTTCCATTTTTTCATTTTGTCATATTTTTCCCTTATTACCTTTCCCCTAACCTACCCATTTCCCCTACACCTTTGGCCCTTTTCTTCCTATTTCACATTGTCAATTATATCATTAGGATCTTATGTACCATTATAGTTTTTCACGCCAGGGAAACTATTCAGTATTTATACATGTGTGACTTATTTCACTTAGGAGTATATCTTCAGTATGTATCCATTTTCCTATGAATGACTCTAATTTCTCATTCTTTATGGTTGAGTAGTATTCCATTTTATAGAAAAACCACATCTTCTTTATGCAGTCTCCAAATGATGGGCAAATGGGCTGTTTCCAAGTTTTAGCTATGACAAACTGTGCCGCTATAAACATAGGTGCACATATATCACTGTGATATGATTCTTTTAGTTCTCTTGGACAGATACCCAGCAGAGGGATGGCTGGGTCAAATGGAACCTCCAGTCCCAGCTCTCTGAGGTATCTCCGTATTGATTTCCGTGGTGGCTGCAGCAGTCTGCACTCCCACCAACAGTGGAGAAGGGCTCCTTTCACCAGGGAGCAGTCTTAACATAGACTTTGGAGGAAGGGGCTTTTGACCAGAACAAAGGAGTCCCCTTTGTCAAAGAAGCAGCTGGTGCCCAGGCAGGAGCAGCTGTCTAAGCACAGAGATACAATACCAGACGCAGGGACCCCGCATCCCTATTTCCCACCTGGAATCGCCCTCACCCTCCTTCCCACACCCACACTGCCCTTCCACCCTCACTGCACTGGGGTTGATTGTGGGTTGTGGTCGTAGGATAAAGACAGCCTTCATTCTCTCGGCTCTCATCTTGCAGCCTCCTCCTCTGCCCCTCAGAGAAGCAAGCCTCTGTCCTCCTGTACGCTTGGCTCCTGCCCTCACTGAATTTGTGGACTGTGGCATCCACAGCTGCCTCCGTGAACAATGGGTAGAGTTTTTTAAAAGAAGTTCCCCAAGCTCTTTCTCCTTGTTTATCTGCTCTTGATTAAAAGGCCATAAAGAACTGATTTGCCAAAGACTTAATCACCAGGAGCAATGGACATGTATGTAACTTAATGACAACTCCAGACCCATCTTTCATGGTAACAGTTGTCCCTGGGGCTGCCACTCAATGACAGAGTGGAGAAATGAGCCTTGTTAGCTCTGTGCTATCATTTCCAATCTCAGCCTCCTGGTTTCCTCTCTGGCCAGGCTTGGGCTAGTCCTGCAGGCAAGTTATCCTAGTCTGAAAGAGGAATTAAGAGGGTTTACAGTGGGTTCCCAAGAACTAAGGAGAGAAACAGGGTTGGACTCTTCATTCAGCTGTGTTTCTACCCAGATGGAGCATTTACAGAAGATTCCTGAATTAATTGGGATATTTGGGTGGCAAGTAATAGAAGCTCAGCTCAAACCGGCTCAAACAATAACAGGGCTGAATAAAAAAGGAGTGATCTGAGCTTCAGACAAGCTAGATCCAGGGGCCTGACAGTGTGGTTGGGAATCTGTGTCTCTGTTTGTAGCTCCCTCTTCATCGACTTTCTATTTCCCATATCTGAGCTTCAGACAAGCTAGATCCAGGGGCCTGACAGTGTGGTTGGGAATCTGTGTCTCTGTAGCTCCCTCTTCATCGACTTTCTATTTCCCGGTTGAGGGCACCAACAGTACCGGGCTTAGCCTCCAGCTGAGCAAACCCAGCTGCAAAGAAAGCTTCTCCTTTCCACCGCTAGCTCCAGAAGAGTTGGCTTTGCTTGTGTCAAGTGCTATGCCTGGTGTAGTTGACACTTACTGGGTTCCAGATGCTGTGCTACATTCTTAAGATGTGAGTATAAAAAGGACACCCTACCTTTTTTCCAGGGATCTCACAGCCTTGCAGAAAGCAGCGTGGCAGTTAACTGATGATGTTGGGAATAACCAGTGTTCACTGCTGCTCCATGTGAGAGTCTGGGGATTGATCATAGGACATAGTCTCTACAATAAATTCATTTTTTCTTTCGATTACAGAATCTCCCAAGTCTCCAGCCCAAACATAACATTCCCCAGCACAATGTTTAAGAGCTGGGGTCCTGTAGCTTTGACAGATATGCATTTGAGTTCTGGCTCTGCCATATAGGAGCTCTGGGAACTCAGAAATGGATCAACTTCTCTGTGTATCTCCTATACAATGGGGATTAAAATAGCATTGACCTGACAAGGTTTTTCTGAAGACTCAGTGAGATGATGCACATGAGGCAATAATTCAGTGCCAACACATAATAAGAGCTGCATAAATGCCTTTTGCTACGATTTATATTCTCCAGTGGTAATCAGGCAGTGGGGTATGAAGACCCTCTCTGGGGGAGGATGCTCCTAGATGTCCAGCCCAGGGCTGGGTTTTCCTGTGCAAAACTCCACCAAACAGTCCTGGGGGCAGAGGTTGTCACATTAGGAGTCTGATGTCTCTTGGAAATTGAATCCAAATGTCCCCATACTGGGGAAGAAGAGATCCAGGTAAATATGAGAACTGGAGGGGCCTAAAATGGTCCTAAAAATCAGGTTCTGGCCACAGAATGTAGGGGGTCCTGAGCCAAGGAAGAGAAGCAAGGTGATAAGTAGTGGATGGAATGCGTTCGGAGAAGAGGCGTCACTTAGAAGGAGTTCACAAGGATAAGGGGCAGCTTACCTGAGAAGGGCTAGCAGAGACCCCTGATGTACTGCCAAGTCTGCCTTGCTCCTAGCTCATTAGTCATCAGGGACTGCAGACCTGTCAGAGAAGGGGTTAAAAACATGGCACACCAGAACATACCTCAAGGAGCACTACAGACCTCAGTTTACATACCCACCAAGGACCACTTCACAGTGTTTCCAAAACTAAACCCAAGCCTTTCCAGAACATGTGGAACTCTAGTTTTACACAGCTTCTTCACCCTCCTAAGATGCTGTTTGCAACACTCCCTGCCAACAGAATAAAACCCAGCTTTCTTAGGCTGGCATTCAAAGCCCTCCGTGGCATCTTGCTCCAGCCTATACCCACAATGCCTCTCAAAGCAGCATCCTTGGCCACCCCTCCACAACTCCCAACCTCTCTGGGGGGATCAGGCAGGGGACTCTGGGCTTAACTTCCTCTAAGACAACAGGGCATTTATAGGGACAACCAAGCCAATTTTAGAGAATGGTTTAGGGTTTTGACTAAAAAAACAGTTAAATGCATATAATCTCTTATCATAAATTACAGCTTCTGTGCAATCTGCCTCGAATGAGGCGTGGAAAGCAGTAACCCTGGCTGGGCCTGATAAATAAAAACTTCCCAGGATATCTTGGAAGTAGAGGGGGAAAGCAGCACAGGGACTTGGCCATAAGAACAGAGCAGAGGAAGTAGGACCAAGCCACCTGCCTCTGCTCCGCCTGTGTTTTCTCTGGGGTCTGCCCGCTCACACAGTGAAACACACCCGAGGCTCCAGGATCCCTCCTTCTGCTCTCAGCCATGTGTCGTCCTCAGAGTCAAGGCCAAGGATCTCTTTCCTGAGCTCATTACACATGGTTGATGCTCAGCAAATGTTCTTTAAATGGATTTGAATTAAGACAGAACCAGTCTGGGAAAGACGGAGATTTAACAGCCTCTCCTCAGCTGCAGAGCCTTGAAGTTTTTTACAGACCGAGTCCCTAACTATGTGACTTAGGACCTATCCCTGTCCCCATTTGGTGCTCCAAGAATCCGGAACTCAGGACAAGAAGTCTGCCTTGGCTCTGGGGAATTAATGCATTTCAGTTATCAGCACACTTTTGGTGCTCCAAGAATCCGGAACTCAGGACCAGAAGTCTGCCTTGGCTCTGGGGAATTAATGCATTTCAGTTTCATCAGCACCAAACACCTGAGGAAAACCCTTGCAGGGGGTCGGCTAAGCATGTGCCCCATAGTCTGAGAGCAGTGTCCATGCACAGATAGGACTTTGGACAGCCTAGGATACATGGGTGGATCTGTTGGTCATACCTAGCTGGACAGTCAAGATCACACAACAGGAGGCAATGCTTGCAGAGGAGACATATTCATTGTACTGCACTGAGCCATTCAGAACACCCTGTTTTGAGGACAGGGATGAGAGCCCCTGGTCAGTCTCTTTTTGGGCTTGACTTGGGAGCCATGAAGGGCTATTTTCCTGCTTTCAAAGGTAGACAGAGAAGGCCAGACTGCAGTGAGAGAAGTTGAAAAGAAGTAGAGGAAAGAGTGAAGGGAAGTCAAGAAAGAAGGAACCCACCCACTGAGGCCAGGCGATCCCCAGATCCACAGGTTCCCCAAGCTCTCCCTGTGTCCTTCCCATCAGCACTCTCTTCCTGATTAAACCAGCTCGGGCATTTTCTGTTCTCTGCCCCCAATTATCCTGAAGATGAATCGCAGCCATTTCCACTGCCCACCACAGATTCCTGGGGATAACCAACAAGACAGAAATTAAGCTTCTACCACATTAAGCAACTCTGCAATCCATACTTCACCTGATCTCCTGCCTCACCAAAGACCCCAAGTCTGGCACCTCATAGGATGAGCACAGTGCAAGGTTAAACAAGATCCAGCCCTCGGCCAGTCCAGAATGAGATGCTCAAGAAAACTCACTGTGTGCGTGTCACCGGCTCCTTGATTAACACTGGACTGAGCTGCTAGCATATTTCACTGCCATTTACAGAGCACATCTGTGTGTGCTTTAGTCCAGTAAACAGGCATAGTTTGTTTCTTGGGCCAGTATTTCTTTTGTATTTACTGTTTTGTTTTTACTTTGTTTTCTTAGTTGAAAAAACTAAGCTCATCAGTTTGCCTTGTGCTGATCTACTCATGGCTCCTGACTCCCACTTCCCCATCCCGCCTCTTCTCCTTCAGGAGCATTTGTCATGCAATCCTCTTGTTGGAAGGAGAAACTCAGCAAGACAGTTCAGCCCCACTGTGATTTCTCCCCTCAGCATGAAGCCTCGATCCCCTTAAGCTCGACCATGGCCTTTTCTTTGTCTGCCAGGAGTAGCTTCAAGCAAGCTCCCCCTTGGAAAGGCAGATCTTGAAGGCTCTGTCTTTCTTGTTTCCTCTATACAGTGGTTTTTAATAGTGGTTTTTAAATGCACCCAAAAATACTTTGACTTTGCCTCCTTCAAAAAGTAAAGTCTAACGCTCCTCCCCAAACGTAGGCCATACAAATGTAGGTTGTACTTAACAGCACCTCTAACCAACAGACTATGGAGAAAGTGCTGCTGTACAGATTCCAAGGATTCTTTGACTTGAAAAATCTAGCTTTTTCCTGGATCTCCCTCTCCTCTTCCTTTGCCTGCCCCGTCCATCTCCCTCTGCCTCTTCTTTTTTCTCAGACTGCCAGATCTGAGAAAAGCTGGCTACTGGGTCAAGAGGACCGTCAAGCTCCCAAGACACCAACACCAGTGAAGTTCATCTTCAGCCCTAGTTCCAGAGACACCCTCAGCCAGAACCACCGGACCACGCTATGGCAAATTCTTGAGCCAGACACTCTTGACTCAGAAACTCCACAGATAATAAATGTTGATCATTGTTTAAAGGCCATTCATTTTGGGAGGTCACATGTGCTGCAGCAAGAAATAATACAAATAGAATCTTCCATTACAATGAGATTTGAGTCACACATCTCTTTGCACACTGAAAACAAAAGCACTTCCATTGTACCAGAGTCAGCATTCGTAGGCTACTGAGAGATAAGGTTTAATTGCACTGCTACCCAGTGACCTCGTGTTTGGCCAGTGTGGTGGCCCAGCTTTGGTCCATGTGGCTCAGCTAAATCTACACATCCACAATCATTAGCTGACAAAGTCTGATCGGACTGAGGGGCCAAGACTGTACAAGCCTTGTCTGGGAGTCATGGATTCATGACTGAGCCCAGAGATGTCTCTGTCACCATGTCCACACTGAGCATCTTGTTGCACAAAAGACTTTCCTCTGGTGCAGAGTCAGGACCTGAGCTATGGCCTGTGCTCTGAGAATGACAGCACCAGGATTGTGGCAGCTGGGGACTATTGTAATGCAACCTGCTGGCTTCCCCAAGGAATGCCTGGGCCAAGGTGTATGAGGCAGCATCATTCCCTCCTGACATGGGTTCTGGATGCCAAGAGCTGGGGGAGAGTGAGAGTGATCACATTCTTGCTGAGCCCAGGCCTTCAGCCAAGAGTGCTGGAGGCAGCCCAGCCTCTCATCCTCATGGGCAATGACAGATCTATCATCTAAGCACAAGCATGGAGGCCAGCACTGCCAGGGACACCTGCCAGCACTTGATGTGCCCTTATGGGCCTCCCACTATAAGGAGACAGACATTCAAATCAATCCAGCTTAGCAAATATTGTCTGAGCATCTACTGCAAGTAGGACACACGAGTAGCAGCTGGAGGAAAGAAGTTAACGTGGCTCTTGCCTTCCAAAGCACCATCTCCTCCAAGTGCAGAAATGCAGGGTAACCAAGACAAAATGTGGACAAGATTTATACAGCAGTCTCTACCTCTTCTGAGCACCCAGGAACTGGGAGCATTATGAAAGAGTCCATCTGTGGCCTGTCTCTGAAGAAGTCATAAACAAAGGCTTTTAATGGGGAGCAACAGCAGATGTCAACATAGACATGAAAGAAAGCAGAGTACACTGAGAATTTGTGGTCATAATTGTATTGCAGCAGTAGGTTATCTAGGTCAGCTAGTATCACCAAAATGCTGTGTAACAAACAGCTCCAACACAGTAACAGTTACAACAAGCATCTGTTTCTTCTTCAGAGACTTACTGGTTGGCCAAAGCATCTCTGTATTAGATTTCATCAAAGTCAAGTCATCCACATGTCTCTCTTTCCAGGACTCAGGCTGAAGGAGCAGCAGCTACCTAGATAATACTGTTCTCAAGTGCAAAGCAGAAGTGAAAAGGCCCCTTTGAAGGTCTCAGGCTAAGTATGACATGCTTTGCATCTACTCACATCCCATTGTTTATAGCAAGTCATATGGCCAAGACCAAAGTCAGAGGGATGCGGAAGTATGCCCTGCCAAGAGCAAGCCATAGCAAGAGTGGGGAGGGAGCAAAAAACTGTGAGCAAATAATACAATCATGACCAAAAAGAAGTCATAGGAGATGAAACAGAATATACTCACTGGAGCATTGTGTGAAAGATACTAGCTGGTTATGTGCCGAACTATTTTTGTTTACTCTTTGGAGTACAAAATCAGATGGGATTTACCAATTTCCTTTGTACTTGGTGTTGAAAATCTGGCCAATGGAGGGTTGTAGAAGTGATGGGCTCTACGTACAGGCCCAGCCCATGAAAACCTCCCACACAACCTTCCACTCTTTCCTCATGTCTGGGTAGGCATGCACAATCTAGCAGAGGAATTTGAAGTCCACAGTGAGAACAGTGATGTGAAAAGAGCCTGGGTCTCTGAGTCACTGCTTGGAGGACAGCTACCTAAGAAAGCCAGTTGACCAGTTATGCATACACTGGTCTCTTTCAGGACTTGTAAGAAAACCTACATGTTAAATCCCCTGGGATTTGGGAGATACTTTTTAAAGCAGTTAATCTACCTTACTATTACCCTATGTCACAGAGGCTCTTCATGTGTGGCTGAGACGCACATAGACTTAGACCCAAGTAGGCCTGCATTGAATGAGCCCTCACACTGTTTAGTGGAATAACTCTAAACAAATTGATTAACCTCCACCCTCAGGTCTTAGATTTTAATCTTTAAATGGAATCCAGAGTCTCTGCCTCTGTCACTGAAGTAGGTGGG